TCTCTAGGTTTAAGCTAGATTAATTTTGTTATGTATAACTAAATTATAGATGAATTGTTAACACTGTCCAGTGTGATTCAGTTTGTAGATATTTATTTCCTTTACATCTTTTGGTCAGATGACCATCTTCAGAAGGCATAAGATCAACATGTTCAGAATATTCGTGCCTCATCGGAGGACAAAATTAATGATATTCAGGACAGGTTCTATGAAGAACTACAGTAGAACATTTATTTGATAAATTCCCAAAGTACCATATGAAAATTTTGTTAGGAGATTTCAATGCATTAGCTAGAGAAGACATTTTCAAACCAGCAATTAGGAATGAGAGTTTGCACGAAATTAGTAATGATAATGGAGTTAGAGTAGTAAACTTTGCCACATCCAAAGATCTTACTGTCAAAAGTACAATGTTCCCACATCATAACATTCATAAATTTACTTGGACATCTGATGGGAAGATGCACAGTCAAATTGACCACATTTTGATAGATAGGGGACGACGTTCAAGTATACTTGATGTTCGATCATTCAGGGCAGCAGATTGTGATACTGACCACTACCTGGTGGTGGCAAAGGTTAAGGAAAGACTGGCAGTGAGCAAACAAACAATGCACAGAGTTCATATGGAGAGGTTGAATCTCAAGAAGAAAAAGAAGAAGAAGAACCCACTTTTGTACATTGGTTTCCCATGTATGCAGCAGTAAGAACTTGGCAGTCCAAGTGTTTTTTTTTTTATTGCAGTGAAGTCCATATTGTAAGCCATACTTATTCTACTACAGTTTCACTGTAGAAGCAAAGTAAACAAAATGAAAGATGAAGATTTGTGCTGTTCAATGACACTGGTGTGCATTTCTAGCATGGATTTCTCATTTGTGGTTTGTGCCATGAATAAATGTTGTATGCATGTACTCTGCAGTATTTTTATGTAGGTAGAAATTTATCCTTTAGATTATCTGAAACAGGTTGTAGTATGGTTGTTTGTGCTTCAGGTAGCTGGAATATTTTTGTTTCACAGTGGCACACAAAGGCTTTCCCAAAGCAAAAAATGTCGTAGACATTATTATGGAGATATGTAAGACCCGCCATGAAGACCTTCAGAGAGGACTGACAGTCTGGCAACAGGCAGATTTTTTGACATACATTCGTGGTAAGAATAACTCAGTTCAGTTCTGTATTTATTTATATGATTACTGAACAGCACAAAGACGATATGTTGAAAACAGAATCTAGTAAGATTTGAGGCTTTCACGGCGGTGACTATGAAGAAAGCAGTCTTCTGGGATTTGGCGCACCACATATACACGGTGCCAAATCCCAGAAGACTGTTTTCTTCAGAATCTAGTAAATTTGTAATGATGACTTAACTGTCTGTATCACTAACTGACAGTGCTGGGTAGCAGTCATGGTAGGGGTATCGGGCAGAGGCTACAGAAAGCAATGGGAGATGCATATGCTGTGACCAGCATATTCAAGCCCAATGCTGATCTGAGCAATGTCACTGGGGACATTGGAAAATTGTGCAAAGGTTTCAGTAAAGAAAATCGTGTAGTTATAGTTGGGGGGCCAGGTAACAGTTTGGAGAGAAACCT